CACTAAATCAATGGTAACTCCTTGTTGGAAACCTTGATTCATATGAAACTTATTTCATCAGAAAATAGATTGATATATCTTTCGACGGTATCTTTTTTAAGAGTATTAGAGCATAATTGATAATCTGAAGTATTTGTTCAATGTGCCTCTTGAATCCTGACAGAAATCGAGCTTTGGTCGATTTCGTGTATTCTATTTCATTCATTTGGAAATAGATTCCATTCAGTTCCCTTCACTCAATTGAGGCTTATGTTGGTGCTTGAATTCTGGTTTGATCTTGTCTGTAAATTATTTATATTCTTGAATCCTTTTGTGTAACGTTTATGCTATATCGCATTGACACATATAGGCACATGTATATCCCATTGATCCGTATTTGCTTTCGATATGTGCCTATTCTAGTTTCATTCCTTTGGATATTGAATTCATCTAACCTTCTTATTTGAATTGAGCTACATATGATTTCTTGGAATCTTGGTATACTCTTGCTTTCATTTCATTCCAAATCTGAATACATTTGTGAGAGATTGTTGCTTCCATCGTATTGACTCGTAAAGGCACATGTACGTTTTGTTGTTCCGCGTGTGCTTCCGATATATGCTATTCATTATTCATACTGCCCTTTTGTACTCTGGTGTTGTGGGATAATGTGAACCTTTGCTAGAAATGGTAAAGGAAGTTATGCATAGAGCCTACGATGCTCTGCCGGCCCCCTCTGACTTCACCTAGACGTGGGTGGATGGAGCTCCCAGACGTGGGAGACTTCTGTCTGGTGGTCATTCAGAAATGGATGAATCACATTCTGTCTGTGGTCCCACTACACCTTCTGTATGTTTGATATGATATCCAGAGCTTTGGTTATGTGTTTTTGTACATTCTTTGGATAAGAATGATATGAATGCAAAGTAAAAGACGACGTTTGAGCTTCTGTTTGGTATTTGTTATTGATATGCTCCGAAATGTTCTATACGCCGTTGATATACTCCGGAACATTTCATACGCCACTGATAAGCTCTGAAACATTTCATTTGTTATTTATATGCTCCGAAATGTTTCATTCATCATTGATATGCTTCGAAATGATCCATACGCTGTTAATATGCTCCGGAACATTTCATACGCCATTGATAAGCTCCGAAATATTTCATTCATTGTTGATATGCTTTGAAATATTCCATATGCCGTTGATATGCTCCGGAACATTTTATACGCCATTGATAAGCTCCTAAATGTTTCATTCATTGTTGATATGCTTCGAAATGTTCCATATGTCATTGATATGCTCCGGAACATTTCATGCGCCATTGATAAGCTCCGAAATGTTTCATTCATTATTGATATGCTTCGAAATATTCCATATGTTGTTGATATGCTCCGGAACATTTCATGCGCCACTGATAAGCTCCGAAATATTTCATTCATTGTTGATATGCTCTGAAATGTTCCATACGCCGTTGATATGCTTCGGAACATTTCATACGCCATTGATAAGCACCGAAATGTTTCATTCATTGTTGATATGCTTCGAAATGTTCCATATGCCGTTGATATGCTCCGGAACATTTCATACGCCATTGATAAGCTCCGAAATGTTTCATTCATTGTTGATATGCTTCGAAATGTTCCATACGCCGTTGATATGCTCCGAAACATTTCATACGTCATTGATAAGCTCCAAAATGTTTCATTTGTTATTGATATGCTCCGAAACATTTCATTCGTGGTTGATATGCTCCAATTACTCTATGCCCCATCTGTTATGAACCAAATATGTATGATTGAAATGACAATTGTGATTCTGCACCTAATGATATTACGTCTATGAATTCTTATATTCTACCTTGTATTTTGAAACTTTATCTCTTTGGAAATTATCCTCTTTTGACATGGATATGTTAGTCACTTGCTGAGCTTTATATGCTCACCCCATTGTTGTTTAAATTTTTCAGGATAGCTTGTCGCTTGCTTAAATGTTAAGATTGGGCTGAGACAGTGGAAAGCTAAAAGATTTTAGGCAGATCTTTATTAGTATATATGTTTTTGTTGTATAAGCACATTCTGCATCTAATGAAATGTTGACGATGAATCTAAACTTATGGATTTTGTTAAAGTTTAAAGGACCTCTCATGTTTAAGATTCTGGAATATTAAGTTTAATTCATGTAACGATATGAACTTATGGTAAACGTTGGTTTTATGATTGTACAAACTCCCACACTTGTGAATTTATGTTGTAGTTATTATTTTGGTGAGTTGGGTTCAGATTTTATGAATCATCGAGCGATGTGTTATATGTTTATGAACCGCACAGGGTTTATAAATTTATAGATTATAGAGGTAAAATTTTGATCTGAATGTTTTCTTAGTGACCTCAAATGTTAGTTTGGATCTTGGATTGATTTGTTTTCTTGAATTTTAATACTATCGATATTTTGAGGGGCATGACATCTCCACCTCAGAGCAGGTCTGGAGTTTTGAAGAGCATCGTCGTAGCCCTACTGTATGGATCACCGCTAGAGAGGAGGGCATTTAACCTCCTTCACCCTCTCTTAGAGATCTATAGGGACACAGGGATATATGATCTCCCTAGGTAACATAATCTATTCTAAACGCAGTTTTAAGTTTTACGGATTTTTACGTACCAATCTTTGCATGACGACGAACATATCTTTCAAAATTGAGGATTTATTTTTCTGTTCTTTCGCTACGCATGTGATGTCACCCCCAAGATTTTTCAACACTGACATGTTCCATTTCGGCCCAACATGATTCTTCATGCCTTAATTGTCTCTCCTTGATCGAAGTTTCCAACGTCACTCAAAACGTAAATCAAATCATAAATACTATCAATTAGTTTCATAATCAAAATCCAACATTCAATATTTCCTGCTTTAATTGTTTCTCTTTGATCAAAGCTTCCTGCGTCACTCAAAACGTAGATTAGATCATAATCATATCAATGGATTTTATCATCAAAATCTAAGATTCAACAACCATCGCCTGACCGAACTTTGGGTCACTGAATGGGCCTCTCAATGAGCCTAAGTCAACCCAATATTAGGCCCAATGGGCCCATAATTAAGTTAGTAGGGTTACACCCAAGACTAACTCAATTTACGACCTAACTATGATAACTAAGACCTAACTACAATAATTAAGACAAACAATTATAAGACACAAAATCTAAGTTGTCTAGCATGTCATTAGCTCATCCGAACTCCCAACAAACTTCTAACGCGTCATCCGAACCTTCGGCGTATTGCCCAATCCATTGGCATGTTGACTCCCATAATTTTCGATCTTACCGCAATGTATAATTCTTCCGGCTCAATGCTTGATCTCTGATTTTGGTCTGATGTCTGATTCTTTTGCTTTAATTATTTTACATTTTCATGATCGAAGTTAATCATGCATCACTTTTCTCAAACCGTCGATTAGATCGTAAACTCATCAATTGATTCTATTATCAAAATCCGAGATTCAACAACTATAGCCTTTTTTGAGGTTCAAAATTGAGTCCCTGTTCAAGCATTGGGGATCAATTTTTATACATGTGAAGTCTTTGGGATGGGACTATGTCGATTGGGACTATCCGTACATCCTTTCATCAGACATTCATATAGATAACCACTTAGTATGCCCCCTATGATGCGAGTCAACTAGTATGATCTCCTAAGGTTTAGGTCGGTTGGTATAAACCCCTGTGGTGTGGGTCGATTGGCATGAACTTTCATGGTGCAGCACCAAGCTGTACTCTCCCCTATGGTGTTGCGTTAGCAAAGAACGATCAAGAGGGTGCCCGCCACCAACCCAATCATCTTCTTCGTCAGCTAGATGTCATCATCTTACACGTCAGTTCATTGGTGGCTATCAACCAGCGGATCGTGGTTGATACTAGAATATTTCCTATCAAGATCAAATTAAAATTTCTCTTGAGTTATCTTCCACTCACTTGTATATTCTCTCTACTCCCTTAAATAAATAATTTCTCTTAAATAGCATAACATGAATAAATTTAACTCTCAAGAATAAAGAAAATAAAAAAAACTATATAATAGATGGAAATCAAATAACATATATTAGAGTTCAGTGGCATCTTAATAAGTTTTTGGGTTTCATAATATCCTATCTCTATATACTAATTCGAGGCAGGGTTTCCAAAATAATATAGAATCTGAGTGACATCCTAATGCAACGTGATCTGTATAATCATCTTGGAGCCCGATATATAACATTTAGAAAAAAGAGTCATCAAACTATATATATTCCATTAGTATTGGTTAAAGACTCTTTGATATAACATAATCTTTTTATAAGAGTAATATTTTAGAGTAATTGATTAAATTATAGAGAATTATATTTCTCAACGCATATAGACATTAGACAAGGAAGTTACTAAAATTACAAATAGGTAAATTCTTAGACGAGTATAATCGTAAAAAATCATAAGACTTTCCCACACTAAAAGCGTCGAAGGATTGAGAAATAAAAATAAATAAAAAGAATGAAATGGAAATGTGAAATTTCTCCCTTTTCTTCATTCTCTCATCCACTATTTTTTTTTCCAATTTTCTTTCATTTTTTAATGCGAAACATGGATCGGTGAAGGGCGTAATTATAACCTAATCCGGCTAATAAGAAAATGCCACTTGGAAATCGTAATACTGCGCTAGGGGTAAAAGAGTATTTTCATAAGTCGTATTTTTTGCGTTTTTGTGTTTTTCGGTGGGCTAGGAGAGGGCGAGAGTAAAAGAGGGGAGGGAGAAATCCCCGACCGCGTTGGGGATTTCAGTCCCCGCCCAGTAAAGGGAATTTGAATTTTCCCCCTTAGCGTTCTACCATAATATGTTTTCTGGTCGAATTACAAGTTAATTGTTTTCGACATTGTACATTAACTACCTTGATAAGGAATTTGATACCCAATCGGATCAGGAGACTCATGCTCATATATTCTTTCCAAAGACCTAGAACGTCTCTTCTCCACCCTGTTGGTTCTCGAGAGCGTGCTGGGTAGGAACCGCCCCCCTCTTTGATTCTGCTCCTTGTTTTCGCAGCCAGGATCTGATCTGATTTAACAGTTTCGCAGGGTAGAGTTTACATGGGTCGGCGAAATCTCTGCTTCGAGTTGATTCCTGACACGAAGGCTCGGCGACGGAGCTTCGCGAGGAGATGCAAAGGGCTGAGAAAGAAGGCCTCCGAGATCCACAAGCTTTGCGACCTGGACGTCCTCGTCATCAGCTTTTCGTCGGACGACGACAAGATGGTGGCATGGCCGGAGGAGCCGGAGGAGGTGCGACGCATCGTGCACCGCTTCCTGATCATCGACAAGCGGCAAAGGGAGCGCTGGTCCAACAGCCTAGTGCAGGTCCTGGAAGAGCGGGTGATGCAGAAGACGCGAGCGAAGAAGATGCCTGAAGACTACGCGACGCGGGTCCAACGGCTCGACGGCCTGTCAAAGGATAAGGTAGCAGACCTTCTCCATGACATCGACTGCCAGATGTCACTCCTGAAGCTGAAGATTAAGTTGTTGGCAGAGAAGATGGTTGCAAGCCAACAACAGCTAGACGGTGGTTCTCAAACCCAGATTCCTACTAACGACAGCGTTGACGAAGAATATATGCAGCCTAAACAACCATGCGATCCGGCGGAAGAAGACCACTTCCATGTCTCGGAGTACCTCGGTGTCGATCTTGGGGGTGATGCTGTTGCTTCTGATCATTATGTTGCCGGTCCCCCTGCCGCCTCTTACAATACCGTGGAGATGGGGATCGCGAATTCATTGTTACCTGTGCAGGACTTCAGTGACGGGCTTGACTGGTTTCCGTGGCCGCCAGCAGATCAGGGTGGCTTGGAGCTTATTGTCCAGCAAGCACTGCAAGGAATTAAGGATGCTAAAAATTAGTGTGTGGGTGTCATATATATGACTTGGAAGGGGCAATTTTGTTTGTCTGAGATCCTTCAGGCGGTATAGCTCTTTCCCGTCTTAACTACAAATAAATATATAGAGGGAGGGATGCTGAGGCTTCAGAAGGGGTAGTTTTGTTCAATACGCAACCTCCCTGCGTTATTTGCAGGGTGCCAGATTCTGTAATCTCTGATCCATCAGTAATAAGAAAGGTAGTTGAATCAGAACCGCAGAAGCAACCATAAGGACCATGAGCCAACAGTTCCCTCATGAAAGAGGTATTCAACCATACGGAAGCATCAATAGATTACGCTTCTAATTTGGGAACCAGTGAAAGGTTATACGGAAATTCTCGCCGTATGCATGCATGGACGTCCCTTACCGCCGAAATCTAGAAAGTTCTCGCCGCGCCGCTAGCTCACGGTCGGCTCTCGGGGGTCCGTGAGGGGCTATCGTGCATGCGAGCTCGCCGATCCGGGGGTCACCGTCAGCACGGCGCGAGATAGCGCATTTGACCGATGAATGACGCGGCGGGGAAGGGGAGCGGCGGAGGCCGCGCAAGCTGAGATTTTTGACAAGAGGGGCAGGGAAAAGGGAGGGACTGTGAGGCTATATTTGGAGGAAGAGAGATCGGAGGACGAGGACGACGCTGAGAGCCGAATGAAGAGAGAACGGAGAAGGGAAGGGACTAGGAGTTTTAACAAAATATAAAATAATATAAAAGTGAAAATAAACAAGTGAATGAAAGAGGTTTTTTTTTTAAAAAAAAAATACAATTCACAGTCCTTATTTACTATTCACAACTCTTTGCTCCTGATAATTCCTTAATAAAAATATAATATTATTTTATTATTTATACTTCTAATAAATCGATTTTATTTTTTTATTTTCCATAACCCCTTATTTCATCATGTTTCGTTACTCGATCATCAACAACACTTGTTGTTAACACTGTTTATTGTTGATGTGGCTCGTCACCCATGTCATCCTTCAAGAAAAAAAAAATTGGAGGAGAAGAAGAAAAATAGAGGAGAAAGAAAAAAAAGAAGAAAACAAAAAGAAGAGGAGAAGAAAGAATAAGAAGGTATTTAGGTGTATTTGTGAATGAATAGTTTGAAAACATAAAAAAAATTAAAATAAGATTGTAAATAGTAGTTTTTATTTTTTTCTTTTTAGCAAAAAAAATATATAATCCTCCAAAATTACTAATTTTTATATTTAACCCTATAATTTTAAATTTAGTACGTATCTCCCAATAAGTTTAAAACTAATAATTAGCATAATATTATTGATATTAATATCTATCAGATTGTGTGGATTCATTTGAAATCCAAAATCTGTTGTGGAATGTTGTTAATCTCAAATATGGTTTTAATATTTG